CTACCTCCACAATCATTATATTATCCTGTTACAAAGTCACAGAATTGGAGAAATTTTCGATTTTCGCAATTTAGTATTAGGAGAATATAATGAGCGGAGAGGTATTTCGAATTCTGGCGGGAAATTTAAAGATTACTGAATTTTCTCAGTTTTCTCATTTCCGCATTATGATATCAGGAGAATATAATGAGCGAAGAGGTATTTCGAATTCTGGCGGGAAATTTAAAGATTACTGAATTTTCTCAGTTTTCTCATTTCCGCATTTTGGTATCAGGAGAATATAATGAGCGAAGAGGTATTTCGAATTCTGGCGGGAAATTTAAAAAGTACTGAATTTTCTCAGTTCTCCCATTTTCGCTTTTTGGTATCAGGAAAATATAATATGCGAAGAGTATTCCGAAATTCTGGCGGGAAATTTAAAAATTATTAAATTTTCTCAGTTTTCCCATTTTCGCACTTTGGTATCAGGAGAATATAATGAGCGAAGAGGAAGTTCGAATTCTGGCGGGAAATTTAAAGATTACTGAATTTTCTCAGTTTTCTCATTTCCGCATTTTGGTATAAGGAGAATATAATGAGCGAAAAGGTATTTCGAATTCTGGCGGGAAATTTAAAGATTACTGAATTTTCTCAGTTTTCTCATTTCCGCATTATGATATCAGGAGAATATAATGAGCGAAGAGGTATTTCGAATTCTGGCGGGAAATTTTAAAATTAGGGATTTTCTCAGTTCTCCAATTTTCGCATTTTGGTATAAGGAGAATATAATGAGCAAAGAGGTATTTCGAATTCCGGCGGGAAATTTAAAGATTACTGAATTTTCTCAATTCTCCCATTTTCGCTTTTTGGTATCAGGAGAATATAATGTGCGAAGAGATATCCTGAAATTCTGGCGGGAAATTTAAAAATTTGCGTTCTACCTCCACAATCATTATATTATCCTGTTACAAAGTCACAGAATTGGAGAAATTCTCGATTTTCGCAATTTAGTATTAGGAAAATATAATGAGCGGAGAGTTATTTCGAATTCTGGCGGGAAATTTGAAGATTACTGAATTTTCTCAGTCTTCTCATTTTCGCATTTTGGTATCAGGAGAATATAATGAGCGAAGAGGTATTTCGAATTCTGGCGGGAAATTTAAAGATTACTGAATTTTCTCAGTTTTCTCATTTCCGCATTATGATATCAGGAGAATATAATGAGCGAAGAGGTATTTCGAATTCTGGCGGGAAATTTTAAAATTATTGAATTTTCTCAGTTCACCAATTCTCGCATTTTGGTATAAGGAGAATATAATGAGCGAAGATTTCCAATTCTGGCGGGAAATTTAAAGATTACTGAATTTTCTCAATTCTCCCATTTTCGCTTTTTGGTATCAGGAGAATATAATGTGCGAAGAGATATCCTGAAATTCTGGCGGGAAATTTAAAAATTTGCCTTCTACCTCCTCAATCATTATATTATCTTGTTACAAAGTCACAGAATTGGAGAAATTCTCGATTTTCGCAATTTAGTATTAGGAGAATATAATGAGCGGAGAGGTATTTCGAATTCTGGCGGGAAATTTAAAGATTACTGAATTTTCTCAGTTTTCTCATTTCCGCATTTTGGTATAAGGAGAATATAATGAGCGAAGAGGTATTTCGAATTCTGGCAGGAAATTTGAAGATTACTGAATTTTCTCAATTTTCCCATTTTCGCTTTTTGGTAACAGGAGAATATAATGTGCGAAGAGATATCCTGAAATTCTGGCGGGAAATTTAAAAATTTGTGTTCTACCTCCTCGATCATTATATTATCCTGTTACAAGGTCACAGAATTGGAGAAATTCTCGATTTTCGCAATTTAGTATTAGGAAAATATAATGAGCGGAGAGGTATTTCGAATTCTGGCGGGAAATTTAAAGATTACTGAATTTTCTCAGTCTTCTCATTTTCGCATTTTGGTATCAGGAGAATATAATGAGCGAAGAGGTATTTCGAATTCTGGCGGGAAATTTAAAGATTACTGAATTTTCTCAGTCTTCTCCTTTTCGCATTTTGGTATAAGGAGAATATAATGAGCGAAGAGGTATTTCGAATTCTGGCGGGAAATTTTAAAATTATTGAATTTTCTCAGTTCTCCAATTTTCGCATTTTGGTATAAGGAGAATATAATGAGCGAAGAGGTATTTCGAATTCTGGCGGGAAATTTAAAGATTACTGAATTTTCTCAATTCTCCCATTTTCGCTTTTTGGTATCAGGAGAATATAATGTGCGAAGAGATATCCTGAAATTCTGGTGGGAAATTTAAAAATTTGCGTTCTACCTCCTCAATCATTATATTATCCTGTTACAAAGTCACAGAATTGGAGAAATTCTCGATCTTCGCAATTTAGTATTAGGAGAATATAATGAGCGGAGAGGTATTTCGAATTCTGGCGGGAAATTTAAAGATTACTGAATTTTCTCAGTTTTCTCATTTCCACATTCTGATATCAGGAGAATATAATGAGCGAAGAGGTATTTCGAATTCTGGCGGGAAATTTTAAAATTATTGAATTTTCTCAGTTCTCCAATTCTCGCATTTTGGTATAAGGAGAATATAATGAGCGAAGAGGTATTTCGAATTCTGGCGGGAAATTTAAAAAGTACTGAATTTTCTCAGTTCTCCCATTTTCGCTTTTTGGTATCAGGAAAATATAATATGCGAAGAGTATTCCGAAATTCTGGCGGGAAATTTAAAAATTATTGAATTTTCTCAGTTTTTCCATTTTCGCACTTTGGTATCAGGAGAATATAATTGGCGAAGAGGAAGTTCGAATTCTGGCGGGAAATTTAAAAATTACTGAATTTTCTCAGTTCTCCCATTTTCGCTTTTTAGTATCAGGAAAATATAGTATGCGAAGAGTATTCCGAAATTCTGGCGGGAAATTTAAAAATTTGCGTTCTACCACCACAATCATTATATTATCCTGTTACAAAGTCACAGAATTAGAGAAATTCTCGATTTTCGCAATTTAGTATTAGGAGAATATAATGAGCGGAGAGGTATTTCGAATTATGGCGGGAAATTTAAAAAGTACTGAATTTTCTCAGTTCTCCCATTTTCGCTTTTTGGTATCAGGAAAATATAATATGCGAAGAGGTATTTCGAATTCTGGCGGGAGATTTTAAAATTATTGAATTTTCTCAGTTCTCCAATTTTCGCATTTTGGTATAAGGAGAATATAATGAGCAAAGAGGTATTTCGAATTCTGGCGGGAAATTTAAAGATTACTGAATTTTCTCAATTCTCCCATTTTCGCTTTTTGGTATCAGGAGAATATAATGTGCGAAGAGATATCCTGAAATTCTGGCGGGAAATTTAAAAATTTGCGTTCTACCTCCACAATCATTATATTATCCTGTTACAAAGTCACAGAATTGGAGAAATTCTCGATTTTCGCAATTTAGTATTAGGAAAATATAATGAGCGGAGAGTTATTTCGAATTCTGGCGGGAAATTTGAAGATTACTGAATTTTCTCAGTCTTCTCATTTTCGCATTTTGGTATCAGGAGAATATAATGAGCGAAGAGGTATTTCGAATTCTGGCGGGAAATTTAAAGATTACTGAATTTTCTCAGTCTTCTCATTTTCGCATTTTGGTATCAGGAGAATATAATGAGCGAAGAGGTATTTCGAATTCTGGCGGGAAATTTAAAGATTACTGAATTTTCTCAGTCTTCTCATTTTCGCATTTTGGTATAAGGAGAATATAATGAGCGAAGAGGTATTTCGAATTCTGGCGGGAAATTTTAAAATTATTGAATTTTTTCAGTTCTCCAATTTTCGCATTTTGGTATAAGGAGAATATAATGAGCGAAGAGGTATTTCGAATTCTGGCAGGAAATTTGAAGATTACTGAATTTTCTCAATTCTCCCATTTTCGCTTTTTGGTATCAGGAGAATATAATGTGCGAAGAGATATCATGAAATTCTGGTGGGAAATTTAAAAATTTGCGTTCTACCTCCTCAATCATTATATTATCCTGTTACAAGGTCACAGAATTGAAGAAATTCTCGATTTTCGCAATTTAGTATTAGGAAAATATAATGAGCGGAGAGGTATTTCGAATTCTGGCGGGAAATTTGAAGATTACTGAATTTTCTCAGTTCTCCAATTCTCGTATTTTGGTATAAGGAGAATTTAATGAGCGAAGAGGTATTTCGTATTCTGGCGGGAAATTTAAAGATTACTGAATTTTCTCAGTTTTCCCATTTTTGCATTTTGGTATCAGGAGAATATAATGAGCGAAGAGGTATTTCGAATTCTGGCGGGAAATTAAAAAGTTTGCAAAGTTTTTTTCACTTTTCCAAATTTTTAGTATTGGAAATATTGACAACACGTAAGGAATGGAGGAGAGAGTAATATAGATAAAAAGAAAGCTATCTACCACTTAAAAATCCATTTTAATCTGTATTTCATACAATACAATATAATACAATATATATAAAATGCTTGAAATACAATAAATATAATATGATATGTAGTAAAATATATAATATGTTTTAGAAGATAATACAATACACATGATATATAAAATAGTCTATAAAACTAGTACTCATAGTTATAAGTTATTTATAGTCTAGACTATAATTAACTTGCAAATTTCTATCTGTGAATTTCTAGTTAACAAATTGGAATAATATTTCTTATACGGCATAATTACTTGACGAATAATCGTGAAGATATACATAAAATGCTATGATTATTTATCAAATAATGATAAATATTTATCAAACAATGCTATCAATATTGACTTAAACCGCTCTAAAACATTCTAATGAATCTATCGCAATGTGTAATATTTGTGCAGTACAATGCAATGTAACAATATAATGTAACACACTATTATGAATTATGTCATCTGAATGTACAAATTCAGTACAAACTCTCTACAATTTCATCTATAATTTCAATAGCGCAAACAATTAAGAAAAATTATATAATCTAACAATTAACTAACAAAAAAAAATATATATATATATTATTGAAGTTAAGTCTCGAAACAGAATCTATCACACGAATATACACATTGTATTGCACACGCGTTAACAAACATTACATATTTGATAAAAATTTCGCACTCGCGCGAGATACTCGACGGTGACAGCCATCGTTTTAATCGCGCTTATTGCAACGCTTTGTGTATCATTCGCACGTGTTACATTAAAAATCGTGGCCACAATCGGCGCCTCGCGCCGAATGCACGCGCGAACGATGCCCGGACGATGGGGCCGATTGTTTTCACGCCAGCTATCGATCTATGCGCCCAGCATGCCGCTTAAATTTATAAAACTGGTAATGCGGGTTCAAACTTGTGAAACCGTGATAACGCGGATTCAAATTCAGAAAACTAACAACTAACAATAATACGCCGAGGCAGAGATTTTGGCGAAATCGGAATGCGGGGTAATAATAAATCGCGCGAAGTACAGCAAACACATTTTTTCACCGGCTCGAATTCTCGAATTTCGAAGGTGCTTCTTCCTCTCCTCGCAGAATCCAACTTCTCGGCAGCGTCGTCGGCAGCGGGACGATTATTTCCATCCCGCCGGCGCGGCGATCCGGCCTCGTTTCGAGATGCGCGAGACCCTCGACCGACTTTCCGTCGTGCTGTATTTTTCGGCTCAGCGTCGACGACGCGAGCGCGACATCATCCCTCGTCGGCTAAGAGGCGAGAGCCTCGCGACGCTCTTGGATTACACCACCCCCGTCGCAGCGGACGAGTCTAATTTTGCAACTTTGATATCGGATCCCATCGTCGCGTGTGCTCCTACAGCGACTCGCTCTCTACGGCATCCAGGAAGATAGCCCGATAATTCGAATACTTTGATTAAACATTACACTCAGACGGGTGAAAGTAGCCAATTTCATGGTGCGCTGAGCCCGATAAGCAAGCCGCGATATAACCCGCTACGAAGGAGCCGCGGCCGGCTACTCACGTACGACACGATTTTTCGAGTCACTTTTACGAGTCCATTTCTACGGATAACTAACGGCTCGTTACGCTCAGACACGTAGATTGCCTGAAATCGCGCGCGCATCGAAAGGGATAAACGTTTAATCCGCTCGCCGCTCGGCCTTCCGCCCGTCCGCATTTACGAAGGAGAGAAGGAAACATTCGTACAACTAATTTTCCGTCGATCCTACGTCGGGAGCATCGAACCGTGAATCCTTACCAAATTGGCTCCCAGGAGTCTAAGACTTTAATCAGGGGGTGCGCGTCGAGCTCCGACGAGCTCGCGCGGGGCGACCGAGTTCCGCGAGCGGCCGATTATTCCGTCGATTAAATCGGGGGGTATCGATCGCCACGGCTTCGGCCTTGCCTCTCGCGCCGGCGATTTCTCGTTGCCGGCGCGCGCCACTGAATTACCGAGTTCGCCGACTTTTCGCTCATCGCTCGTAATGCATCTACCTCGCGCGATACACGCGAGAAACATCCGAGAAACACCGCTCTGTCGAGACGCCGCGCGCGCTCAACCCCCTTGGTATCCGCTCGGAACCGCTTGGTGTCTGCTCTCTGCTGCCGGAACTGAAACAACGCGAATCAAGCGTCTCGATTAATTAACTCCTCGCGAAGACCTCGCAATTTTTTGACACGCGCTCGCCGCGCCCCGAGGAAAGGGCTGCGCAAGGTAAATTCAAGCGAAGCAAAATTTTTCGTCCTCCCATATACGCGACGCTGCGAGCGAGAATACGTGTAAAGAGGAAGAGGGGAGGGATGGGGGGGTGGGGAGGAGACAGTTCGCCGCACGAGGACGCAACATAGCGGCTTCGTATGATCGCGAGGGCTTGCGGAGGGAGCTCGCGCTTGCAACTCTGATCTTGCAAAGAGCAGCCCTTGAGAAATTCGCCCTCTCCCGCTGCGCCTCCCTTACTCGCGCTACTCCTCGTAGCGTCGCTTAAGAATTTAATAAACGATATCGCCGCCGGTCTGCCAAACACACGGGAGCCTCGAGACCGGGTTATTGCCCGCGTATGCCCGTCTAGGCTGAAGCTAAGCGGCGGAGTTTCAGGACTTCTGCCATTAACCGTAAGTCGACGGGCTTTCGGCTTTCACGGGGCTTGCTTACGGGGCAGGTCGGAGGACGGAGGGAAGGCAAGGGGAGGCGAGGGCGCAGCCGAAAAGGGCCCTGATATTCACATAATTTAGACCCAGTTAACACACGATTGCCTTCTCGAGAACTCGCCCGACTTCTTCCTTCCTACCTGCCTGCCTGCCTGCCTGCCTGCCTGCCTGCCTGCCTGCCTGCTTGCCTTCCCATTTCCTGTACTAACGACCTTCGTCAACTCCTCCACTACCTGGGCTGCAGCCGATTGGGAACGCGCTAGTCGGCTAGAATCGCGTCGATTTGTCCGTCGCACGCGCGACCGCTCTGCGACAGTTGTTATCGATAGCGTTTTGTTTAGTTTACGCCACCGCTCGACACCCCCCACAGCCCCCTCGCGGAACGAGCTTCGTCGAGCGGGCCGCACTTTTTCGAAATTGCGACGGTTTGCGATGCTCTGAATTGTTGTGTCGAGTGCAAACGCGAGCACGGCCGTACGGGACAGCGGAAATATATAAAAATATACAGAAAAGGGGAAAAAGAGGTGGGAGGATGAAAACAGGTGCGGGCGAATCTATTCAAGCGGAAAGATTGGTTCGGAGAGAGGGTTTCTGGATGCGTCGTTTTGGATGACCAATTAGATATTGGAGCGGAAGAATCGTGGAGCGGAGCGGTTAGCAGGGGGGACAAAGCGAGGTAGAGATCGACATTGGTTACATCAGCAGGGAAAACTGCTTTGCAACTGTTGTAAAATTCGTCAATCTAATTGGCGTATGCTCTTAAATCTGGCTGGAATCCGGAAGCATGTACCGATCAGATTCACGAATTTTACGACAGTTAAGGTAAACGTCCCAATGTCCGGACACATCCTAATACCCGATCACTTTGTAAAAATTATATTTACTATTTATTTTAACAATAATGAATGAAAGTGATAATTATTGTAAAAGAATTCCAATATTTGACGATTAGTTGGAAAAAATATACCCAATTTGACACTTTTGTATTAAAATGAAAATTAATTAAATAAGTATGCACTCCTATGATTTGGAAATAATGGTCAATCGTTAATAGATTCGTTAAGAGGTAACATTTATATTTATATTATTTCCCGTTAGCACATACTAATTTTACTAATTGCGCGCAGATACTGGGACAAATTATATCCGAACATTGGGCCATAATCTATTTCAACTGTCCGGGCACTGGTACATTAATGCGCTTCATTACTTGTGTAAATATTTTATTAATAATATATAATATATATACAAGATGTATCTAAAAATATGTTACAAATTTTAAGAGCGTATTCTAAGGATCAAAATAAGAAAAAAAGTTCCTATAAACATGAGTCCGAAAATGCCTTCCCTCCGAGTTATAGCCCCCTAAAGTTGGGGGGAAAAAGATCGTCGAAATTTTGCACAGCGTAATAATTAATAGCGACTTCGATAGTGACCTTCATTTTTATGTAGTTTTGACAATTTAGTCCGATATTGAGGGGGAGATATGGAGAGGGGTACTAATTTTCAAATAACCATATTTTTTTATTTTTCGTCGTATCGAAATATGGCCATTTGAAAATTAACATCCCCCTCCATATCTCCCCCTCAAAATTGGACCAAGTTGTCAAAACCATACAAAAATGAAGGTCACTATTAATTACTAATTATTACGCTGTGCAAAATTTCGATGATTTATAACTCGGAAGGAATGCAGTTTTGGACTCATGTTTATAGGGACTTTTCTTCTTATTTTGACCTCTAGAATACGTCTTTAAAATTTGTAATAACATATATATATATATATATATATAATAACATATTTGTATAATAATATAATAACATATTTGTAATAACATATTTTTAGATACACCCTGTATATATATATATACAGGGTATATCTAAAAATATGTTATTACAAATATGTTATTATATTATTATACAAATATGTTATTTGTTATTTTCGTTATTTTTTCTCTACTTAAAAGAATCTTAAGTTTTCGAATAAATACAAATGTTTATATGAAAACTATTCTTAATATTATATATTGCATTTTTTGTAGCGACCTACGTTTAAATGTCCGGTTACTGGGGCATTTACCTTACAAAGCAGCTTTCTCCGCTGAATGTAGCAATTGACACACGGCGCATCGACGCTAATTTGCGCGCGAGACGCGCTCCTCTGGAACCGCGCGCAACATACGGAACGCACAGCCGCCGCTGGCTAGCTGGCGAGCCGTCTTTGGCGATTTGCTCGAGCGCTGAGGCAATCTGCGGGAATCAGCGCGGCGACCAATGCGCTAATCAATTCGTCAAATTTTCATCCGCAATTCGCGATCGCGCGCGCACAATCCTCTATATCTCCGCTAGAGCCGAGCCCGACGCGCAGCTTAGCTGGGCTTCACGACCGCCGCCGGTCGACGAGCAGGTTACGCGCGGGCGCGGCGCGTTTCGCCAGCGGAAGGCTTCCACGTGCAAGTCCGCGGGACTTGTTGTTTATTAAGGGATCCGTCGGGAGGGCGAGAAGCGACGCGCGATAACATCTAAATGTGGAACGACGCGCTGCCCGGCGGAACGCGTCGGCGGGAACGCGTATAAAGGCCGATTCGCGCCGCCAGATCGAGGGGCGGCAGGAAAATTCGGTTATGCGCGACGAACCGAGTCCGTTCCCAATTGCGCTCATCCCCTCGCGAGGCGGCTCCCTTCCGGGTGTTCTTGCCGAGCGAATATCCGCTCGTCTGTTTATTTTCTCCCTCTCTCTCTCTCTCTCTTTCTCTCGCTGCCGGCCGCGTCTTCACGTCGCCTCAGCGTGTTCTCTCTCTCTCTCTCTCTCTCTCTCTCGTGTCTTTCCTCATCACGACAGTGTGAAAGCGCTTTAAGCTGAGGTAACGAGCGCAACCGGGCTGCTTCGTCTACGAGGAGAGCGCGCTGCGCTTGAATTTGCAGCTGCGGCGTCGAGAGTGTATCGCTACCGCGACCGCATCGTACAATCTTGTCGTACAAAGCCCCGCCCGGCGCATATCGGCTTCGTTTCGACGCCCTGGCGAAAGCTTCGCGGTCGCACCGCGTCTCGATTTTACGCGCGGACCGCGGAGTTAATTGCGGCTGATTTTAATTGGGAAAGCAGCACCTCCGCGCGAGCGGGCGCGCCTCCTCCTCTCGGGAGTTACTACGCGAGACACGCGCGTGGACACGCACGCGATTTATTTATATGTAGCGCAACAACTTGGTGAAAGCGGCAAAGTCATTCGCGACCGAACGGGGCAAAAGTAGTGAGGTGAAGTTGCAGTCCGAAGTATTACATTATTATGAAGTAGAAACGTCTTCTCCCGATGGAGAGCTCCTCGCGTCTCCAGCGCGAGCTGGGCGAGTGAATTTTGCACGGTGTGTCGCGTTGTCAACGGCTCTGCTAACGAGACATCAATTGCGCGAGAGGAAAACCGCCTCGGTCTCGGCGGTCTCTCGGCGGCGTTTGTTGCGTATAGAGGCACTCATTTGTGACTTACACATTATTATTCCCTTCGCTACAACGAGCGTCGACTGATAGAGTCTCGTTGCGTCGACGTAATGAAATCGAAAAAGTTTGCTCCTCACGGAGAACAGAACACCCCCCGCGGAATTTTAACGATCTCTCGTTGCGTGCTTCCCTCCTCGAAATAGTACGCATTCGCATTTTCCGAGCATAAGATTGAGAAATCTTTCACGTCACCGCGTTATATCCCGGTTCGCGTGTCCGCGGAGGACATTTCGTTCACGTCGGAAATAAGGCGCCATGAACGACATTATCGACGTTAACGTACTTACATCCACTCGTTTTGCAATTACACCGAATAATAGCCGGCAAATTAATTATAACGCGCGCACGCGCGCACATATTCATCAGAGCGGCGCGAGCCGCAGCGGGAACTGCCGTGTTTACCGTATGATTTAATTTCTCGTCGTTACGCCGCAACGTGCGCGCTTCCGTATTCTCTAAATGCGCGAGCTTATGTCGTTTACTTTACCGCTCGTTGAATAAAAATGGGAAAGAGCGGCGAATTACCGTGAATTCCGCGGGAACGATATTACGTTTAAACAAGTGGCGACGGAGAGGAAGAGAGAGAGAGAGAGAGAGAGAGAGAGAGAGAGAGAGAGAGAGAGAGAACACTCGTTTGAGAATACTATGTATGGGTGGATGTGTGTGTGTGTGTGTGTGTGTGTGTGTGTGTGTTGAAAATTGTGGCTTATGGAAACGAAAAAACGCAGAGACCGTTCCGTGATTTCACTCATTCCACTCGTTCTTAATGCGCACCGCGTCGCGTCGATAACGCGGATAAAGGGATTATCGCGGATTAACGCGATATCGCGAGAGAGCGAGCGCGCGCACGCGCGGGGGGGGCGGGGGCGGACGGGCGCGAGCGAGCGGCGTAAAAATGCGTGATTTCGCAATTTCACTTTGACCGGTCGAAATTAATAACTGTTGATAATGTAATCGAAGTCGTGTT